TTAATAGATGAATCTACAATTAGTCAAAAGGCTGTTCCTGATGCAACTTGACGAGCTCTATCGAATGGCGTACTCCAATTCGTTGTAACTGAAACCGTTATTAAAATAATAATTTTCCTAAATCAGACCAAATATCCCTAAAGTAAAATCGAATGAAGATTCCATTATTTCTCACATCAATTTCAACCTGCTTTGCTTCAGACCTTTCATTTTAGAATGAAAATGTGGTTTGCTTCGAAAAGAAAGCATTCATCTCTTCAGAGAATCCATTGTCTTAAAGGCTCGTGAGAGAACGTAAAAGGAAGCTATTTTATTTCGATGAAATGCTATGTTAACCGTTCCGAAAGAAAATGAACTAGAATGAATTCTACTGGTTTAAGAATGATTCAGAATGCTTTCTCTTCAAATAGGGAACGATTTTTCAGTATAGAAGAAAGTATTCCATACTTGTGTGGAACGGTAAAGAACGAGTTCCTTCAGATCGAGAATATTTCTTTCTGACTCTGAACGCATTCGCTCAAACAAGGAACGCATTCTCTACGTAGGAGATAGGTTTCCATATCCGCATGAAACCATTCTGTTCCGTTTTTTTTCGAAATATTTTTCACTGGGAAACAAAGATAAAAAAGAACAGATATGATTTATAGACGCAAACAATGTTAATTTAATTATTTTATGTCAGAACAATAAAACTTGCCAATTCTATAGATGATTATTTTAAATTGTTCTGCTGATAAGCAACTGTAATATTGATCATTTTAAAGCTGATTTCAATTTAACATCTCATAAAAATTACTTTACATGAATGATGTTACATCAAAAAGGCATGAACACGACAATATGTCTATGAAAAGATTAAATAAATATCTAGACCTGTTAAAAATAAACTATTGTCAGTTGAATATATTTTTTAGCTAATGTTTTTGAAAATTTTCCGTCGAGTTTTTGTCAGATCTAAAACAAAATAAACCAAACATGCAAGCGATTAGAGAAACACTTTGGATCAAGTAATGTTTTCATAGCATTCAGTGAGATCTCAATAATAGAAAAGGGTTCTAAATAAAAATATGATCTTCATTGAAAACAATATGCTTCGCCGGGATAGCTCAGTTGGGAGAGCGTCAGACTGAAGATCTGAAGGTCCCTGGTTCGATCCCGGGTCACGGCATCTTTTTTATGCTCAAATTTTATCACAAAATTTGATAATACCGGAATAAATGATCTTTACCATAACTAGATTATTTGTAGATAATTTCTATAGTAGTGAACAATTAAATTATTTATGATGAATGTGAGATAGTTAAGAGATGAGCCGAGCAGGTGTTACATGAACTCCTTCCTCTTATCTGATGATTACTGAAATTGAACATTCACTTCAATGTCGAACTAGATTAATTCAATTATTCTTTTTGTTATTTTTAGTATCGATCTTTCTCGGGGTTTTCTATAGAAATAAATAAAAATAGTCATCCAAATGAATGCATTAGTTTTTTTTTGTTTGTCTATTAAAATAATCACCTGCTTATCATTCATTGAACATTGAGACTATGGAATGAATTTGTTACGATACAAATTAAAAAGACAAAATATTTCTTTTATTTAATAAGTAATATTTCATTTGATACATATTTAAGAAAGCTTGTTAAAACGATAAATTCTATTGATATCTTTTCTCTGCTTTACAAAAATAACAAATGCAAATGAATTATTTTTCTTTATGGAATAAAAACATCTATCACAGTAGCAATAGAGTATAATAAGATAGTGAGAGTCTATTTTATGAATATTAATTTTTATCGTGTATTAAAAAATAATATAAGTTTGATTTGAATGAGTATTGTACAGATTCGATCAGAGTTATTAACATATTTTTATGACATTTTTTTTTCATCAAATCGAAAATTAGAATAACGAAAAATTTCAGACACTAAATACTTGTTTTGATGCTAAGTCAAAATGAAAGTTTTGAAAAAGATTCTGAAACTACAATAAATTATGAATATAGATGTAAGATTGCTTGTATGATCTATTTCATTGAAAAAAGAAATGTTTTTATAGATGTAAACTATAAAAAAAAACAAAAGTACATTGCAAATCAATAAGATTTGAAATGAAAAAAATTTGGAATGTTTTGAAAATGAGTGTGTTAATAATTAAGTTGATGTTTCTCTTTGAATAAGACCATTTTTTTCTGGCTGTAAAAATTCTTGAATAACCGCTTCAACTAATTGATCAAGTTCATGTTTTGTTTCATTTCGAAATAGTTCAGTATCAATCATTGAATTGATGTCAGATGTTTGTTTATTTTGAATTTTCTTACTTATTTCTGAATACCATTTTATTTTCGGTTCGGTTCCACTTGTACGTATTGTTATTTCACAATCATTATCGAAATAAAATGTTATCATTTGTGTTGATGATGAACAAGGAAGAGTTGGTTGTTTATCTTTTCCTTGATCACGAAAATCCACTTCAATGCCAACAGTTAAATCTCTAATACCAATTATATTATATTGACCACATCTTCTTGGATAAACAAATTCTTCATCTTTAGAATATAAACGTTCATTTTCATCTGGTGTTACATGAGATTTTATTTTATTCGAATATTGAACAACAATTTCCGATTGATTTTTATCAGTTTTACTAATTTCCTATAGTAATTAATAAAAAAATATAAGAAGATCAATAAAAATAGCGATAACAAATAACCTGTTGTTGTTGATCTTCTCTTTGATCATAATGTCTTAAACGATGAAAGATTTTAAGTAAAATATTTGTTTTATTACAAATAATATAGGAATTGTTATTGATATGATAACCATAAAGTAATGATATTTGATTTAATTGTTCATATAATGTTCTTCCAATTGATTTTAAATAAGTACACATTTCAGCTCCAATAACCATTGCCGATATTCCATCTTTATCTAATACATTATTTGGATCACACATAAATCCACTAGAAAGAAAAATATTTTTATTAAATAAAAGAAAACAGCTAAAATCTTTAACTAACATGGCTTCTTCAAAAGCAAAAAGAACATGTTTATTATTGTTGATTAATTCATGTGATTTATTTCCAAGCCATTTAAAACCTGTTAATGTATCAATTGTATTAAAGCCTTCAATTTGACCAATTGATTTAAGTATATGTGATGATACAGTTGAATAAAGCATATAAACATCCTTAACATTAACTTGAGGATTTTTATTACGCCAAGTAAACCAACGCCACCACCCTAAAATTAATAATAAAATTTATTTTCTGATTTTCATGTTGACACTTAGTTATTAGAAAACTTTACCACTTTATTTAATCAATTTGAAATATGGAAACAAAAAAAAATAGAAGAACAAAATATTCTTTTCTTTTCTTTTATATTAATTCTTGAAATAGATTTTCGTTTTTATTTATAATTATTCTCATATAGATTTTTCGATCACTTTCTAATTTTACAATTATAAATAATCGTTGTTGTTTTCTTTCTTTTTTCCATTTGAAGAATATTTATACGAAAAGTAAACTTACCAAGTAAAGTTCCTAATTGATTTCCTGATAAGATTCTCCAACCAGTTTGCGTTGTTGCTTGTGTATCTCTTTCAGCTAATGCAAATCGATCAGCATCTGGATCAGTTGCAAGAATAAAATCAGCATTGTTTTTATTAGCTGTCTTAATGGCACATTCAAGTGTTTCTTTTCCTTCTTCAGGATTTGGATATTTAACTGTTGGAAAATCAGGATCTGGATTTTTTTGTTCGTCAACTGAAATAAATGGTTGAAATTTAAATGCAGAAAATGCTTTTTCTGCAAACTGTTGGCCAACACCATGAACAGGTGTATAAACAAATTTTAATTCTGTTTTAGCATTTAATTCTGGAAAATAACACAAATTTGATAAATTTTTTATATATAGATCACAAATCTAACATAGAATAGAATAAAATTTAAATGAAATAATTTTTCAAATAAAATTTTACTTGTTCAATTGGATCTGAAATTAAATTTGAACTTTTCTCTTGAAGAATATCTAAATTCCATGCTTTTCCTTTCCATGGTTCTAAATTTTCTTGAATAGAATGAGCAATTTGTGAATCTAGTGGTGAAATAATTTGTGCACCATTTTCCCAATAAACTTTATAACCATTATCATCCTTTGGATTATGACTCGCTGTAACAACAATACCAGCTTTACATTTTAATTTTTGAATGGAAAATGGAATGAATGGTGTTGGAACTGTTGTTGAATCAAACAAATAAACATGAATGTTTTCATGAGCAAACAAAGCTGCAGTTAGACGAGCGAACTTTTGAGATTGATGACGAGCATCAAAACCGATAACAACCGAAAGTGAATCGTTTTTATCTTTATATGTTGATTGAATATGACGAATAAAACCTTGGGTAGCTTGAATAACAGTTAATTCATTCATTAAAGCAAATCCACTACCCATTTTTGCACGTAGACCGGCTGTACCAAATTGAATTCGATGAGATAAACGAGCGTCTAGATTATCCCATTTTGATTCATTCTTAATATATTTATCGATTATTTATTGAAATTTATAAACAAAAACAATGATTACTTGAAGTTGCTCAATTTCTTGTCTGGTTATTTCACATTGATCCCATTTAAGCCAAAGTTCAACCAATTTTAAAAGTTCATCTGATGGACATTTTTTTCTCTCTTTCTCTGATGACATTTTTTTAATTTTTAATTAAAATCAGAAGTTTTCAATCAGACCGAAATAAAAACACACCTTTGTATACGTTAAATAACGATAATCCCCTAACTTATTCGATCAAAAGAACAAAATCAAAAAAAAAATAGCAGAATGAATATTCCATTTTCTCGATTCATTATTATCTTTACTGATTGGAGAATTTATAAAAACTACTCAAAATTGATTTTTCATAGATGTCAATACTTGTCGAATTTGTCTTGACCAAACTTGATGCGGTATTTCGAAATTTTATTTTTCAGCGTTACTATTGTATCTTTTCGATCAATCGATGATTTCCACTGACCGAGATTTGTTTTTACTTAATTGAAACTATTATTTAAATAAAAAAGGTGAAATCAATCTCGATTTATTTACACAACTTTGAAAATAACTGAATCAAGATATAATAATTTTGAAACAGTGACTTTTTTAGTTTGCACCATTTTTCCTTTGAAACTTTTCGAATGTTTTTGTAAAATTTCAAATTCTTTGAAGCTTCTATTAAATCAAACGGATTGATGATTTTCAATGGAAAAAGATATATAACGGCAAGTACAAGAATAACATCAGTTAGAAATTAATAACGATAAATGCTATTTGTCTTTTATATCATATTTGCAATTCAAATGGCAGCAATTATTCCTTTAAAAACAATTAGAATATGCAGAAGAAAACTGAAAAAAATATTTCGACATAACATTCACATTGTCAAAATTTCTGTTTATTGACTTACTTTTTTCAATGTCAGATTAACTGAGTAGAACATCAATTTAGTGCAAGGTAATATCGATACAAATATTATCATTTTTTACTTAAAATTCGCAGCAGTTAATTCTAATTAATTAATTAATAATATTATCTTCGTCTCTTTCATTATAGTTTATAGTTCAAGTTACCATTGACACAAACAAAGTATCAAATGAAAGGAGTTCATACAACAAACAAATGGTTATTAAATGATAAGACTCATGATGTAAAACAAATTTAAATATATCGGTGGTGTCCTGAATTAATTCTAACACCGTTTATTTGACATTTAATTCTTCATCGATAAGTCATGATATCATATGATTTTATAAAAGATATTCTATCGAATTTTCCACAAAATTGTTTTTATATGAATTGAAAAGAACAAAATCAATGTTTCTACATGTTTCATGGTGGAATAAAATTAACTGTATTTATTTTTGTCACGTATTAGATATTACTATTAATTTTAATATTTTACATGAACGAATATCAAATCTTAAAAATAGAACTTGATAACAAATAGCTCTTGAGAGTATTTTCTTTTCTTGTTTTAGTATAAATGAATTTCTCTGTTGTTTATTTCTACCAGATAAAATAATTTATCGCAACGCCAGAAGGCTGAAATCTTCACCTTATATTAGTTTTTGTCAGAAATGTCAAGCATAAATTTTAGCGGTGAAAAATATGAATCTTAAAGGAATAAACAATGTTTCTTTTACTAACTGAAATCTAAGTAAAGTGTCATATAAATTATTCAACTAAAATACAGAATTTTATGCTTTCAGAAAAAAATGCATTATCAGCAAATGAGGACGCATCATTCGTCCCATCTAAAAAAAACAATTTGAATCATTTTATTTCTCTATTATCTATGTGTAAAGTAGATTTAGCATACAGCTACGTGGCATCTACCAAATTGATTAGCATGAAAGTCAACGATAGTCGATTAAAGAATATAGCTTGAATATGTTAGGTTATTTTATCCCGATGAAATGAAATTTTCCAAATATATTTTGTTTCTGTATATTTAAACAAAAAGATCTGCTACACCATCTGATTCTATATGGTCAAGTCAAGTATATTTTTAATCTCTAAGCACAAATTCAATTATTTCAATTGAGCTATAATTGACATGATCACATCAAACTAATGCATGTATGTAGTTATTTTGATTGTGTATTGCCATTGGGATAAGCTGTAGGACAAGGAATAACACTTCGTATTTGAATTTAGGATGAAAATCAAAGTAGGTATAAGTTGAAAGAATACATCGTCTTTTTCTGATCTGTTCTGCTTTCTGTCTCATTAATTTTATAATCAATCGATGAAAAACGACTTTCAATATCTGTTGACATATAGTATCACACGCTTACATTGTCGCTTGATATGATATCAGATGAAAAGTAGCAACGAAATTACATTTTAAAATATGTAACACAAACAACCTGATGTTACCTTTCAAGTATCTCTTGACGTAAGCGCATTTATCATATTCTTAATGTATTGATTTTAATCGATTTTCATTCGATATTAAAAACTATATAAGAAAAGTATCACAATAATACACAGGATTTTTCATAATTTCCTCAATAGAGATGTAAATAATTCTTTATGAATTTACAAGAAAATTCATTTGCTTTACTTGTGTTTAATACATAACCATGCATCTCTCAGAGATCTACATAGAAGAGTAAATTGGCTTCATCTACTTCTTGGAGGATTGAATATTGATTTCATTGTAATTCTTTACGAACCTATTCCAAATCAGAGTATGTTTCTCTTAGATATTTTGTAAATATATTCTGCCATGATAGGGAACGGGTAAAAGTTAAAAATATTAAACTAATACTATTATTATCGAACGATAACAAGACTATATAGTTTTGCATTGAATACATCAACGTTGGGTTGATTTCATATTCTAAATACATCAGTTGTCAGCAATGAAAAAGTTGAGTACATCTACATGGTGAAAAAGATATCAGAAATAAACGTCATGTGTCCAATGATTTCTTTTTTTGTCAGTTTTTCTAATCAAACCCGGTACAGGACTTGTAACTTAGTGGAAAATGCCAATCAAAACAAATTATTAATTAAATACAATTTTGAAAACAATATTCAAGATAATCAGCGAATAAATAATCAATTTAGGTTGTTTTGAGTCTCAATATTTCGCTGGTTAATTGTTATTATTGTTATATAAGTGGGTGTAAAAGTTGAAAAATTATTAATGTGCATTGCTCAAAATTGTATGCCAATTCAAAAGTTAAATTTCAAATGTGCTTGTTGTTTTTCGTTATTACCTATAGCAAAGTCGATACATGTTGACATTTTTGACGCATAGGTTGGACTTTATTCGGTTTCAATATATATTTTTAATAGAATTATCATTTAGCAAAGAGTAATGTTCAGTCGTAGTTTAAATTATTAATAAATATAAGTTTTATTGAATGAAGGCGATCTCGAAACACAAAAAAATTCAAAATTCTAATACACAATCAAAAGAACTTCACTCATGATCATGTCTAAACTGCTTCTTTAGAATTGTTCGTGTTCTTGACATGTTTACGTGTTACTTCGAAAAGAGCCAATTTAAAAAACCAATCGCTCTTGTTAAGTAAATTTGTAAAAGCTAAATACAAGCCAACGATGTTGTCGGAATACCAAAGGCTCCAGCTGCTCGTTGAAGATTTTGATATCCTTATAAAAATTTACTAATTGTTAGTAGAATGAAACAGATAAGAAGAAAAAAGAAGAGAGCAATAGTAGCAAAATTCGTTCTTAGAGACGAGATCAGAATTAGTCTTGTAAAAATAAACAAACTCAATTGTTTTTCCGCTATTTATTAAGAATATGTCTGATTGTAGAAATCTTGAAGAGAAGACAATCCAAAATATACTCTTCATTGTTGGAAAACGATCAGGTAGTGAGAATAAGCAACTTATTTAGTTTCTTGTGAAAAAACTATATTTTTGTACGAAAATTAGGAGTGAAATTAACTTCCAATATGTCATGGAAAAGAGCACGCTTTATACAACAAAAATCACAATTCAACTTGTTATCTCATTTCTTTTCTATGAGAAAAAATTAATGGAAAATAGAACATGATGCTGCTCGATAGTAAACTGTACAAGGACTTTTTAACAGGTGTTTGATTTTTGAGTCTTTCACCTTCTCAGATTCGTTCTGGAAAAAATGTCTGATATAAAAGTTATCATTCACACTTTGCTCTTCTCAACAAAAAAAAGTTTCATTAGTTTAGAACTTAGTGAGATGGTCTAAGAGAGCTTGACATGTTTGCAAAGACTTTTGCATCGCGTATTACTTTATAGCTATTTCTTTTTCTTCAAAAAACGTTTTCAAAGATTCTCGATGAAATGATTCATTTTTTTCTCTTTGTTTTATGTTCTTCCTTTTTAAATATTCAATCACGATTTAAATGTTGACACGATTGAGCTATCGTTAATAATTCAACGAAGAAAAATTATTTTGGAAATATTTTAAAAGAACGATTTTGTCGCATTAAGCCAAAGCAAAGACGTCCGTTGACTCTGGATACAAAATTTACGCACATTATTTGTGATTAACTAGCTCGTATAATTTCTTAGTTGAAAATATTTCGTTTTGAATAAAAGCACATTGACATCTATTTAATTAAATAGTCACTCAATAAAATAATAATCATTGTTTATAATCCTTTCATAGATGCTTGGATTATTAATCCAAGAACTCACGAACGAAGGAAATTAAGTCAGTCGACTAGTACTTTTACATGTTAGCTTCATCCAATCGTATATCAAGATGAAAACAAATAATCAAAAACAGCAGTTAATGAATGTCGATCTAATAAACAATTAACATTAGAAAAACGTTTATCTGATAATTGAATAGAATAGACTTCTGCTGTTGCAGCTAAGAATGATGTTGGTGATGATTCAAGTAAAATGAAGCGCAGATGATAAATAAGTAAATAAATAAAAAATTTTACGACATTCAGTAAGCAAATAACATCCGCTGGTGCAAGAATGAAATATTTCATATTTGTATCTATAAAAGTAATATGTAATTAATTAATGTCTAAAAATATTTCTTTTTGAGTAAAAGTCCAAAAACGTTGTCTAATAAATTCTGATGAATAATAGATGAATCGTTGTAATGTATATACAATTAAAAGAATTTTTAATAGAAAAAAGCAAGTTATCAGGTGTTTGAAAAACAAAGCTGCATAA